CAGCCCCTTCCCCCCCCCTTGACTCCCCGCTTCTCCCCCCCCCCCCAAAAAAAATTTCCCCACCAGTTGCTGTCCCGGCCCATCAGGGTAAGGAGCTGGCGCGCCGGGACACTTTGTTTAATTAGGTTTACCTCCGTGCCTGTGGACGCTCGAGGTAAACAAACCATCTCGGCCCACCAGCGACTTATCCTGATGGCCTGGGAGCCAAAGTTTGCTGACCCCTGAATTATAGGATCGGCTTATGAACTGGTTATTAAAATTTTCCATTTTTACTTATCCATCATGTGGGTCGGCTTATAAACGAACCGGCTTATGATCGAGTATATACGGTACATTTGGATGCAATTGGATATTTTGATAATGAAACAGAAGCTGCATTTTGAAGCTAGAGCTGAACTTTGTCTTTTGTGAATGAAAAACTAAACATAATATGTGGCCAAAAACTTTACGGAGTTGCATACATATTTGAAGATGGGGGCAGGCGGGGTGGGACTTTTCAAGGGCACAAATGACAATTAAGCACCTACCTCCAATTGACTTTCAGTGGGAGTTGGGCATTCTCCTCCAAAATGCATTTTTCATATCAGAGAAATAAAAAGAGCAATAATAGTTGTGTTTTATTTGCAGTGCACTTCTAATGGATTGTCTTACGAGAAAATTGATCAAGAGGGACCAGAAACATCTACACTGGAGATGTTTTTCTCAGGTTATCCCAAGATAGTAGGCATGTCATTTTTCCCAAATTTAACAACTCTCACTCTTGTTGGACAAAGCATTCAGAAGATTTCAGACCTGGAGTATTGTCCATTACTCAAAAACCTATGGATTGCTGAATGTTGCTTAACGGTAAGTTAACTCTATGATTTTTCTTTTCAGGTAACTCATCAGATTCTGATTCCCTTACTCACACTGAATAGCACATTCCTCCACAGGTAATCCCACTAATGTCAATCTGCCTACCTCAAGGAGTAAGGTACTACTCACCGTGAGTAAGAGGTTCAGAATCTGGCCCTCTATTATCTGTAATCACACCGGTTGTTAAATCAGAATAGATTCTATTTTAGATGATCACATTACCTCTTTTGATAATTTTAATATTCTTGCATTGCAGAACCCCATTGTTGTGTTTCTAAAACAACTTTTAAAAAACAGACAATACAGAGTACAAACCATTTTTTAGGAAACTGGTACGAAAAATGTTTTCTTGAAAATTATATCGTTTGAAAAGAACCACTTCAACATTCATCAAGAAGTGCTCCAGCAGCTACTGCTTTTTCTTTGTGGGCCATATCCAAAAGCCCACTGAAGTCAGTGGGAGTCTTTTCATTGATATAACGAGCATTGAATTAAGCCCTCTAAGACTGACTTGCCACGTTGCTCTCTAGTTTTCTGTATAGATATACAGAATGTTAATGAGCAGGATGCCTTTCTTCCTTGTTGTTCATTGAGAACTAATACATCTTCCTCTACTGCAGAAAATCGATGGTCTACAACACTGCACTAATTTGGAAAAGCTTTACCTGTACTACAATGAAATTTCTACAATTGAAAATCTGGAGACCCTAATGAAGCTGGAGGTAATTTGGTTGAACAATAACCAAATTAAGGAGATACAGGTGAGACTTTTTTCCCCCCCTTTGAATTCCTTCTAGCTAATCCATTCTATTTATACCATATGGATCCTATAGTATCTGAATACAACTTATAAACTAGACTATCTTTTAAGACTATTGAACCACAAAAAGGTCTGACTTAAACCCACAGTCATAAAGAGTTAGGGCTGAAACATCAAGAACTAATGGCATATGCTATGGTATGCTGCATATACATAACAAATAAAATCACACACTTTTCTGAGACCTCTGCATTTCCTAGGCGTACAAAGGTGATTTCAGGAAGGGACTTGAGCTTTAAATGTGTGTTTTTCTTGTTTTTGCAGGTTTTTGTCAATGCTTTTTTTGCAATTTAATTTCCATTTTAATCATTTTTTAGTAAAAAAGGTAAAAACAAAAAAACTCCACCACCTTAAACTGTCTCAAGGAGGAGAAATATGGGAACAAGCCATCAGTCAGAGAGTTAAAGAGGCCCATTAAGCCAAAAGACTATTTCAAACATCCCACAGAAAATGGTGATCCAATGGAGAAGAGGAGGAGGGCTGCTCTGGAGTCTTCAGTGATGTGGGTGATTGATACAGGAAGCCTTCTGCTTCCTCAGCCCTCACATAACTTCTTCCAGTTTAAAAAAAAATCCCCAAAGTTGGGAATCTGCCCATTTCTTCTGACCTAGCTGCACTAGTGCTGGGTACTACTACTGCATGGGCTAAATAGCTCTGGGTGGCAGAAAATAATAGATCTCAAGACTGAGAAGTAGAGAGCATAGGAGGAGAAGAGCTCTTTTGCAGAGGCCTTTGCTGTCCGATCTACTCTAGTTCCCTGAAATTAGATTTTGCACAGCTTGTAGAGTCACTAATCTGTTTTGCTGGATTGGACCCTTAGAGTTCTAGTTAGCAAAAGGCAGCCATTTTCAGCATAATAAACTGATAAGTGAAAAAAGGCAGAATCTATTAAAAATTAAGAACATTTGACCTTGCCACTCACTTTACAGCCCAAGGGCACTTGCAGCCTTTAGCACATCCTTGTGGTCCTTGCTATCACTTGGTAATATCAGAAGAACATTTTGCAGTTACCGTTTCCGTTCCTCATGGCGTTATGTCAAAGTAGCTCATGTGCACAAGTTCTACAAAATAAATGGATGCCAGTCCACTGCTAATCTTTAGGATGGAGTGCTCATCACAGAGCAAGTGAGAGCTCTTGTGGTCAGAGAGTGTTGTAAAGGGAGGAAAAAAGGCATAAACACACCCTTCTGCCAGAAGAGGACACACCTGCCTGTCTCCCCCAAGGTGGAGAGAAGAGATGAGTCTCAATCCCCATCGTCATATGAGTGTGAGAAACAGCAAAAAGAGGGAGATTCTAGGCTAAGATGAAGGTTTAGAGAGAAGGAAGAAATTGACAAGGGCAGATTAAACCAGGAGTCTTGGAATTTGGATACTATGTTCAGAGAGCTTCACAGGAAACAGAAATTCTGAGGTAGAGGAGTAAAGTGGCAGCACAGCACACAACTCACTGGTGCTGGTTGATGCATGTTGAAGTACCCTGGCCATAGGAGATTGCATGAAAAGTGGAAGGAAAACAGGTGTGAATCCTAATGAGAGGAAGAATGGGGCTGATCTGGAGTCTGAGACAACCCACTTTTTTGGTAGCTCTAGACTCCATTTAAACCCAATCTATTCATGGACATTAATGGAGAAAGAGGAAAGGCTGATGGGAATAGAATACTGGAGAGATTACAGTGGCAGAGGATAGGAGTAGGGAATGATAAAATAGAGGATAAGATAAGAAGAAGGGGAGATTAGTGCTGTGGAAAATGAGAGAGAAAGTAGTGACTGAAGAGTTAGGGCTCAGGAAGAACAAAATGAAAGGAGACAATACATTAACATTGTTATTTATTAGATGGTGTCGCGGAGTGTGGGGGAGTCAGGGCCCTGCACCCCTCTTCCTGAGATTCACTGTGACTCTCAACCAGCCAGTAAAGCAGAAGGTTTATTTAAGGACAGGAATACAGTCTCAAGCAGAGCGTGTAGGTACGACCAGACCCCCTCAATTATGTCCCTCTGGGAGGTTCAGGGAGCTTAGACCCCAGCTTGGGTTCCCTGCGTTGCACCACCCAGCCCAAACTGAAACC